TTCTTTCTTTCTCTTTTAATAATAGGTGTTTTTTGTTATATAATTTATATAATTTGTATTGTAGAATTATTTGTATTCAAAACAACAATTCAAATTCAAAGATATCTTTTCTTATCTATTTTATCTTTTCTTTGTATAATTAGGTTTTTATTATTATTTGAATATAATTATCTTTGTTTTTTAAAAGAACGAATAATAAACATTTCTATTTATTTTTCTAACTATTTCCTTATTTGAATATTTCTTTTTTTTTTATTCTTTATCATTTGAATTTCTTCCATTCCTTCAGAATATTTCTTATAAATTCTTATAAATTTTTTTATATATAACAAATTATTTTATAACAAAATATTTTTTAACAAAATATTATTTTATAACAAAGTATTTTTTAACAAAAGTTTCTATGATAAGAATTTTTCCATATTATAATTATTAAAAGCAATTAATTAATAGAACATAAAATGAATAATTTTTTCTATAAAACATAAATATTTTTATGTTTATTAAATAAATGATTCCTTAAAATTTGTATAGTTTCATTAGAATTATAATAAAAATATAGAGTAAAGAATATAATTATTTAAGGATGAATCTAAAATAATATTAATAAAATATTTTCACTATTTAATCAAATGTCGTTGATTGTATAAAAAATAATGTAATGATTTGTTTCAAATAGTTAAATATCTAAATATAAGTAGGTGAATCTTTTAAACTGATACCACAAGCATCACAGATTGACACATTTTTCTCATTTACTAACGTACATCGTGGACATTCTTTTCCGCCACTTGCTAATGGCTTATCTTCATTTCCTTTATGCCTAGATTTTCCACACATTTCGCAAATTTCTTTTGATGAAGAATTGAGATATGTGCAAGTAGCACAGTTCCAATTCATACTTCCATTTTTTATCTCATTTTTTGTTTCTGTTTGAGAAAGTTCTAAATTTTTTAATGTGTCTGCAATTTTTACAATTTGATCTACTGATCGATGAGAACGTTGAATTGGAAGTGTTTGACTATCATATCTTTTTTCTTTATTATATGAAGATAAATGACTTTCTGAAGATACATCGTGATATCTATTAGAATCCATTAAGTCAAAGGAAGAAGACTTTTTTTTAAAAGGTAATGTGTCGTGATAATGATGTCGACCATTTGTTATAGATGAATCAATTTCATTCATATCGGTTCTTCCACTTTTTCTTTTTTCAAAACGATGTATACTATGTATTTCATCCCTATCATTTTGTTTAAATGATTTTTGTTTATTCAATCGAGAATCAAATTCTCGTTTATGTAAAATATCTTCTCGATCACCAAGATCTTTAGAATAGCCTAAACTTTCTAAATTTCTGTATACAAAGTCCCAAGAATCACAATTGTTTTTTTCACTGCCTGATTTTGCAGACTTTTTATCAATTCTCCCGCAATCATAATGATCTCCATCGTTAGATTGTCTTCTATAAAAATCTATTTCTTCCAAATTTGATATTCGGTGGGGCATCTTCCGATTGTGAAGTTTATCATAATTTGCAACAGAAACAGGCATATCAAGTTCAATTAATCTACCCGTTGGTACTCTTGTATATCCTGGCATTGTAGTATAATAAGGATTGACTCCAGTTAAATATTTATTACCATGTGGTAAACAACCATAGGCACTACAACGATTTCCAAAACCATGATCCACCGGTTGAAAATATTTGTATGTTCCTGGTATCGAATTTGTATTTTCGATATATCTATAATCTGACTGACAAGTAGGCATTGGTATGTTATAACTAGGAGGCATAATATGATAAGGTATTGACGGCGATGCATCTACACATGTATTTTGCGGATAATGATAATCTCTATAATTTTCTGTTTTTGTTCGACTTTGATGCATTTTTTCAAGGAAACGGAAATTTAATGCTCTAATCGCTTGTTCTGGTGTACCAACATGATTTTCTCGAAATTCTAAAACTTCTAACCATGAGATACTATAATTTTGTGAAACATTCTCCCATATTTGTTTCAAAATCTACATTTAAAATTGAAACTTAAATTAAATTAATTTATTTACAAAAATATATATTTATATATTGTAATAAATTTTTTACCTGACATTCAACAAAAGCAACTATTGCATCTCTGCTTACACTGGATACTTTATCAGGATCAATAGGACCTTCCAAAGTGAGTATTCCCAATCCTGTATGTTTATATCCCATTTGTTCAAACATTAATTCTGCTCCTATTAAATTTGCTTCTACTTCATGTTTATAATATCCACTATAAGTCTAACATGAAAGCAACTAATTAATTTTATTATTTCATAATCTTGAAAAATGATATAAGAGAGATTACAAAAATATTAACTCTTAATGTTCTATATTCTCTTCTCCAAGGTTGTGCCAAAAGATTAGCAGCATATAAAGAAATAGCACTCCAGGCAGTTGCAGCTCTATATCCACTAAAATCTTGCAATGTAGCTGCTGATCTGTGCAATATATCTGCAGTTTCTTGAAATATATATTTATTTTCATTTGGAACAAAACAAAGATACTCTTTAATAAAACCTAAAATAGAAAAAAATTAATAAAATTTCTTATACTTAAGATGTTTATATTTATTTTTTATATATTTACCTTCAAGTTTATGACGTTGTTGTAATTTTAATGGACTGTCATCTGTTTGTAGATAAACTAAATGGCTCTGTTCTAATTTCATGCTAATTTCTTGTAATTTATCTTTACCTTTTATTATTAAGTCATTTGCCATTTTTATCACTGTAAAAAAATATATATTTCTGTTCACTTGTATCCTCTACATTTCTAATATTCACCTATAAAATTGTTTAAGTTATTTTATACAAACAAGACATTTAAAAAAAAACTTTTATATGTTTAATGCAAAAAACTTAAAATTTTGATATTTAATTGATCAAATATTATATAAATTCAAAATTAGCAAAAAACAAAGATTAGACTAAAAATGTCATTCAGAAATAGAAATTTTTCACACCTACTATAAAACTGTCTAGAAATGCAGTTTTAGATTAAATTCTTGATTCAAACTATGGCTAGCTCCAACCTAAAAATAAATCCTATATTTAGAAGCACTGCTACAGTGTTTATTTCACACACAAGAGCTACCATAATATATTTTCTATTTGGAAAATGCTCCATATCAGATAAAAACGTTCATCAAATTTATTATTAGATTTTAAAAACATATTCCACTTCATAAACAATAAATATTTTTCTTTACAACTTTTTTCTTGGTTATGTTCGAGTTAAGTTCATAAGCATGAAACATATACTAGAAAGAAATATCGATACTAAAATTTATGTATAAAGATAGTAGACATATTTCAAATTTATTAAACTATGTTGATGTGACAAAATGTTAAACTCATAATAAATATTATTTATTAAATTCAAATAAATTTTTGCATAGTATAATTTACTGAATAATAATAATAATAAAACTCAAAATAAAAAATGATGACAGATATGGAAGAAGCAGAAGCAAGGAAACTTCAATCAGAAATTGAAAAACACAATAGGTAACCTATTTCTCATTATTTATTATTTTATAATTATTTGTAAATAATTATGAATTACTTAATTTATATTTATATACTCATAATTAATATTTATAATAATAATAATAATAATAATAATAATATATATTACTCTTTTATTTAAATTTTTTTCATTTAAAAATTAATTTTTTTATTTAAATTTTATAGAGAAGAAAATGAATTAGATTTTAAAGAGGCTGTAAAGAAATTAGCTGAAGGATTTTTAAATCAATATCAAGTACAATGGGAACAAACTGAAAAAAAACTTGATGAAGTAAAGTAAGTTAAAGATTCATAGATATTTTTTATCTTTCTATTCCACATTATTTTTGTTTAGAAATAAGCAAGAGACTTTACTCAATCAAATGCAAATTGAGAACAAAAAATTTCAAGATGTTTTTGATGATATTAAACTAAATGATATGGTAAGTATTTAAATATAAATTTAATTAGCCTATGATATTTTAAACGAGGTGAAAAAATATATTATATATTTTTAATATAAAAAAATAATATATAAAATACATAAAAAAATATATTATTATATATTACAGTTCCAAACTATTAAAATTGGTCAAAATAAATTAATTTTAATGAAAAAAGAAATGGCTTCTATTCATGAGAGGACATTCAAATTAAAAGTAAGTTGTATCTATTATTTTATAGATATTTTTAATATTATTTATGAAATACATAAATTATTTTTATGTAGAAACGAGCATTAAGATTGCAACAAATAATACAAAAAGAAGCTTTGAATAGAGAACAACAAAGAGAGCAAGAAATTCGTCGAGAACAAGAATTAATTGGTAAACCAATGATAAGCTAACACAATAATAAAGAGAAATAATTAATATCAGTGACACATAACTATATAAAAACAGATTGTACTTATATATCATTTTTGGTAAAACATATGTTTAATTTAATTATTTGATTTTATTATCTAATATAATTTATACATATTTTTATACATTACCAAACAATTTCCCATTGCCCATTAGAATTACATTTCTCCTTAGTTCTACATAAGTAATTAAATGTTGTTTTAGTAGGAAAACCAATGATTTCTCTATCTTCTTGTATTCTAAATGTAAATGTTGATTCATATGTTCCTATAAAATATCTAAAAATGAATACATGCATAATGCATTATTTTTGTTTATAATATAAGAAATGAAATATATTATTATTAAGTTTTACCTAGCATAAGAACAAATTATTTGATCAATAATTGCAATTCCACCATCTTTAAATTTATTTAATATATAATCTGATGGGATAAATCTAAGAATTGTATAATTAGACAAATATTCTCTGAGTTCGTTGAATTCTAGATAAATTAATATGATTAATAAACTTCCAAGCATTATAAAATAGAGATAATTTACCTTTCTGAGTAGCATCTGTAGCAACAAACAAAAATTTTAATTGAAGTTCGTGTAATTTATTTTTTAACTGAAAAGCAGCAGATTTTATTGTTGGTACTGTTAAAGAACGACCAACTAAAAAATCGCGTCTTCTTAAATGAACTGATAAATAAGGACCTCCAATTGCATTTCTTCTATTCTATAATTAAAAAATTATTTTTTAGTTTGCATTTTTATTGATATAAACAAAAATTAAATACTTTTTCTTTAGTCCAATCATCCGGTCGCTCTGTTTTATCATACTTATTTGATGAATTAAAAAAGGATTTTCGAAATTCATTAGCAATATGATATAATTCAGAATTATATCGCATACTACGTCTAGCTTTCCAATATTCTTTTGTACCATAGAAATCATGTAATGCAATTTCCATATGATCAAACATTACAGATCTATACAATAATAATTAAATTAGTTGTAATAAATATTATTGTTAAATAAATAATATATTTTTTTACCTATAAATATTAGGTTTAAGATTTTGTTTAAGATTTGATATCATTCCATGAAATATAACACATTTAACAGCTTTAGAAGTTATATTATTGTATCCCCAAAAATGTCCAACATATTTTTCAGATTTCATTTTATGAAATTGTAATGATTTATCATTACATTTTATTATTTTATTTTTATCTTCAAATATACCTGTCTTGAACATTTCTTCATCATTTTGTAAAATATATACAACATCAAGATGAGTTTGATTATTTTCTGAAGGATATTCTGAAAAAATTAAGTTTTTATTGACTTTATGATTAAATATATTAAAATTATATACCTTAATTATATTAAATATATAATTATATTAAATATATAATTATAATTAAATATATAAAATTATATACCTTGTAAAAATTGATATGTTTCAATAACAGGTATATATTTTTGTAAACTTAAAACATCAAAAAACAGATTCCAAGGTAATTGTGTTTGAAATCCTATATTTTTACTACGCCAATGATACAAGTTGCCTACAAAAACAGAATGTAAAAAATAAATGGATAAAATCAAAATAGTGAAAAATTATTAATGTATTTAATATGTATTTAAATATTACCCCATGGTGGCAATACTAATTGCCATTTAAATTCTGTTTCTTGTTTGATTAAAATTTTTATAAAAACTGCAATACGAATAAAAACATCTCTTCTTAGATTAAATCCCTCTGGAGAATTAACATCATAGAGTATGTAACTGAAAAATTATTATATAAAAATATTGATTTTAATATAAATAATAAATTTATTATAAGCAAGTAAATTCAAACCGATTTCGTGAGTAACGTAATTGAATGTTGCATTTATCAGTTTCCTCATATTCATCTGATTTGTCACAAAATTTATTTGCCACAATAATTTGTGTGAAATTAATTAAAAGTAATACAAAATACCATACTCTTAAAAATAACATATTTTACATTTTGAGGTTATACTCTTTATATTGATAAATCAAAAGCACTTCAATTTTTGAATATTAATATAAGAATTATTTTATAATTATAATTATAATTTAAGTCCCAATAAATATGTAATAAATTTATATTCACAATATATTTAAAAAATTGTTTAATTTTTATAATTCTTTTTCGAAATATTTTTTTTTTCAAATAATAAGATTAAGGATAGTAAAAAACAACAGCAATAAACAACAACATTGTACAGCTTGATTTTTGTTATACATGAATTACAGACTTAAATCTCCCTTATTTGAAAATGGTTGATGGGTAGATTACAATTTTTTAATTCAATTAATAATAATTATAATAATGATAATAATAATTATTATTTATCGTCTTATACAATATTTATAATTCATAGTTCAGTTAACATAGTTTATGTCCTTCTTAAATCAAGTAGGGCTATTATGTTACATTTATTGTGACTCATTTCCCATTCTTTTTCATTTATCCTATTAAAGTATATACTTAGCATATAAAAATTACAAGGACAATTTATACTGGTAATGATATTAGCTGTAATTATAATAATAGTTATGATAGTTATAGCAATAATGGTAGTTGTAGTAATAATAATAATAATCATAGTAATCATAGCACTAGCAGCAGTAATGGTAGCAATAATGTTATAATTAATCATCCGATAACTATACTTTGTTACCGTCTTATTTTTCATGATTTTAGTTTTTTTTCACACGTATACTTGCATGAAATCTCAGATTCAATTCTTGGTTACTTAAGATTCCAATATATTTTGGACACAAATATTATTCATTGCCCTTTTCCTCCTACTACTTTTGTGCCTCATTGTAATTTTTTTAAATATATGTTGTTTTATAGTTTCTTTTCACATTTTGTTAGCAATGATGTTAACTAGTAGAATTCTTTGCAAAAACATTGGTATATATCATAATACTGAATTGTCATTATAATAAATATAACACGAAATTCATCTCTATTATACTAATTCCCTTTTTGTTTTGCATCTCTGTATGAATTCCCTATTGTTAACATCACAGCTGAAAAGATGCTTTATGTCAATATGAAATACACTATTTTACATTCATTATAGAAAACGTGAAGTAGTATATACATAAAAATTTAAAAAAAAAAAAAATAAATAAATAAAAAATTAAAAAATGAAATATGCACAGTGCACTTATTTAAGCACTACATAGTGTTATTTTAATAATTCATTTTTCTCACGCACACACATTATTTTCTTATTTTTATACATACATATGTATATTTATAAACATATTCAAATTTCTAACAAATTTTGAAGTTCATCATATATAAAAATGAAATAACATAATGTTCACATTTATTTCTATTTATTTTCAAAAAAAAATTATAAATATCTTAAAGGAATAAATAATTATTTAAAGTTTATGTAAAGATTTGCAAATGCTAGAAATAATTTTTATACTTTTTAAATATAAAATTATTCTGAATATAGAATATATATTAGTTATAAAAATTTCTTGATGAATAAATAAGTATAAATTGCATAAAAAACTGATTTATAAGATGTAAAATCAATATAAAATTTAACTAAATATTTTAGTAACTGCTATTTTGATAATAATTTAAAAATTTGTTTGTGCACTGTGTATCATACTATACATATATATAAAACACACAAATATATGTATGTATAGTTTTATACTACTTCACATTTAGAAATCTTTGACAATTACCTGCTTATTAGCACAATTGCAATTTTTTATGCTGGCACAGTTATATTACCTGACTACTCAAATAAAATAATCAGATATAAATAAGAATCAATATAATTATATATATGATAGTGATAGCATCTATATAGAATCATCTCATACAAAATAAATTTTTTAAAATGATGTATTACTCATGATCAAATCTTTTGAATTAAATCATAGTTTATTTTGTGACTGATGATTCTGATAAAAATGCTATTTAAATTAAATATTTTCTTTTCATCTCATTTAAAACCAGCCCAATGATTCATGTGCTATTCTTAACTTTAAATGATAATATTTGCTTGTGAACAAGTAAATTTAAAATATTTGTTATATTTCATTAATATTCATTAGTAGATATAGTGCGATGATTATTTAAAACTCATGATTTTTATTTTTTTAAATTACTGCAGCAACTTAATCTAAAATTCAGTTACATAGATACAATTCAACAAAATTCATTGTAATATTCATCCAAAAGTAAAGTTAGATATTTAATAGCAATTTAACATTTGTTCAAACTATATTAAAACTATAGCATATTTAGCTGCATTGGGCTTGCAATGAAACGTTAAAAATTACAGAGATGTTAATAAATAATTTGTATATATACAGGGAAAGATATATACACATACACATTCACACGTGCACGCGCGCATACATATTTACAATACTAGCAATAACACTCACAAACATATGTTGTACAAAAATCCAGAATAACGTCGAACTTCTTCCGGCAGTTCGGCCGAATTGAGCACACAAAAAGAGTGTACAAAGGAAAAAATACAATGTGAAATAACATATATTACAGCTGTTACATCACAGTATTACATATGATTTATGTGTATGTTTTTACTATGTATTATCATATATATTTTTCCTAGGAACCAAAAATTAATTATACAGAAAACAATACTTCATTTAATATAATTTCTCAATTTTCCTATATTTTTTACAATCTTAATGATATGTGTAAACTGATAATAAAGAAACTTAAACATTATAAATGTCTTTCTTTAAGTATTATTAATTTGCTATATAACATATAAAGTTATTATGTTTAATTAAAATAAAAATATTCGTTCAGCATTGCTGAAGACAATAGTTAAAATTCATTTTTTCATTAGCATGAACTTTTAAAAAGAAATCTTCTATTTCAAATTGAAAAAAAGTAAAAACAAGACAGTCTAAGTTTAAGCAATTTTTCACTAATGTTTTTTTTAGTAAAAACATTACGCATGTGGTTATTATTTGTTCTGTTTATTCAAGCTCTATTCGATACCGAGCAGTCGGAGGCTCGATTCAAGCGAAATTTTGCATCTATGTATATATTTATAGTTAAATACATAGAAGACGACAAAGCTGTTATATATTAAGTCATGATTTACATATGCGATTATAAATGTGGCTGTTTTTGGAAGGGTTGCTTTCATTTTTTTTCCTTGGAATGTCCATAGACACTATTAACTAGCGTACATTAAAAATAAGTTCAGTCATTTACACATACTGCAGACACTTCCGAAAGGGAGAGACGGCCATTTTGTTTCACAAAGTGACACAGCTTTGTATATCTATTCATTTGTACAAATTAGTTCTGTACAATCATATAGCATTACATTATAGGATCAAAAAAAGATATATATTGTAATACTATTAAAAATGTTTTATCTCAAATAATCTTTTCTATAGTATTTGGGAAATAATTCAGTGCCACTAAAATAACTAAATGCGCGTGCAGTTTCAAATTAATCGTTGTTCTTTTATTTTATTGATAATTGGCTTCTTCTAATAACTATCTAATATAATTTACATGAAAACGTTTTCACTACGACGATTTATCTTTCACGCAAGATTAATAAGAAATTCGAACTTAATACATTATAAAAATTAACTGACAAAAATCTTAGAACCAGTTATTAAAATATTTATATAAAAAAAATGTACCACCTTGTTTCAGTATTGAGGTAGCGTAACGTTGCTTTGGCTTAGCGAGTCTTTCTGATTATCTAGAAATATTTCAACTGATCGGTGGTACTTGGAAAAAGAAAAATACTACACGCCGAAAGATGAGACTGTACATTATGATCTTTACATGTAAGACATATTTTGATCTTTCTACTGCGTACATATGTCGAGTGTTAACGTTATTATTATATTCTTGACAATACACTATGATGTACGATTATACAATTATCGTACTGCATAGTAAGTGATTTCTTTGGTAGAAACTATTTGGTACGTTTGCGCCCATTCGGAAGGTCGTGCAGAGCAATGAAGTTACAACGAATGAACAGCTTGCAGGGAGTAGTTCAGAGGGAAACAAACATCAACAACAATGATTCCTCAAGTATCAACAACATTAACAACATCCCATTATAACTTATCATCATTATTGTGATCGTCTCTATCATGACCAGTTTTATCATTAAAGTCACTGTCATAGTCTCAGTCTTTTGCCACACTTTAGCTTGATAACATTTTGTAATGAGTAATTATAATTATCATCGCAATCATTGTCTTCAGCAACATCGTCATTATTGTTAAATAATATTTATGGCCATACCTACTTTTGTTCCTTTTTTTTTTTTTTTTACACTTTCGTGATTTTATTATATTTATAACGCTTTTTATCTTTGTGAATTCTTTTACACTATCGATCGAGTCTAATAATATCGGAACTTTGAAATAATATAAAAAAATATTTATAAATGAAGTATCAAAATTCTTCCTTCAAATAAATAAAAAAACACCCAATGATATATGATTTTTTATGATTAAACAAAATTAATGAATGTGAAATAATCACTTAACGATATATAACTAATTGGTAGAATTCAATTATTAATTAAAATTACAAAGTTCCTTAATTTTATAACATCTACTAACATTTCGTACACGTACTTATACATTGCGCGATTATTTTGGTATAAAATGTCCGTTCCTTAGTCCACAATAAATAAAAAGCGAGTTTTTTTAAACACGTCCATGCAACTGGTTGTCAAATAATTTTCTAATTACGATAGTTGCTTCAGTGTAATTCTTTGATATATTACGTGTTTATATGTGATCTACAAACATTTAAAATTCATCGAAATAACAGAGGAGAACAAGTATTTCAGCACTCCTTCTGTATGAAATAATATGTATATATATATATATATATATATATATATATATATTTTTATATATATATGGCTCATTAGGTCACTGTCTTATAGATGCAGAAATATAGAATGCAGTCTTTTCCTTGTACATATGTAGATTGTTTCCTCGAGAGCGCTAATGGCACTAATATAAGTTTGGGATTTTTATTTTGTGCGGTAAGTGGTATTATCAAAATAGATAGTTTTAACTATTTGTTACATAGTATAAGTACATAATATAGTATAAGAAATATGCGATTATATCTTGAAAAAGTTTATGAACTACCATAATATTCATTATTTCAAAAACTACAAATCTTGCTATCCTTAAAAAATCAATGTGAAATTAGAATTATTGTCGTAATTATATATAACTGATTCTTTGGCTTTCGAGGAAAAATATATTTTACGATTCTCTGACCGCTCACTACATTTCAGTATCTATATGAGAGTAATTGATTCAGAATTACTATTTTTTATCCGAAATATGTAACAAGCGGTTTATGAAATTTACGCGACATAAAAATTGATAAAACGTTTTAAATTTTTTTCTTGAACATACAATAAATCACCCTTTTCTTTTAACAGTTTGTTTGTCCAATCATTTTTTCATATCACCGCGTGTCACAACTCTTAACAATATGAAGATATCCTTAGAATGATACTTAAAGCTCTTACAACTTTTACAACACACTTGCATACAGAGAATAGTAATAGCTGGGGTTTTGGACTAGACGTGATGCGGTTGAAGATGAGGCAACCTGCTGGACGAGTTGGATCAGGATTTCATACTACTGGATTCATCAAGCCGCCTTTCTGTTCCTACAGTTAATAAATTTGTGAACTCCATTTCTAACAATTGTCGAGCCTGTTAAAATTAATTTAACATATTAAATAATTTTTATTTAATTTATATAATTTAATTCATATAAATTTTAATGTATTTAGCACTTTAAGTTATAACATACTTGTGTGTTTTGGGTTGGAATTTGCAAAGCTAGAGCAAAACTATTTGCGTCGAAGCTTTCATCAAGGGCTATAAGAGCTCCATGTACACCAGATTCTAAGAGATTGTTCCCATATTCCTAGATTATATTTAGATATCCGAGATTATATTTTCTTATATATAATATTCAAAATAAAAAATTTATTAAATGTAGAATTTAATTAAATTAAATTAAAAATAATTAATTAATTAAATTAAAAAATTTAGAAGTAAAATTACTTTCAGGCCGATAGATTGCACCCATCTTATAACGCGATCATTACTCCATACAAGAACATCAACATTAGCACCTTCTGCCATTCGTCTTCTTTCTTCTAATTGTTGCCTATCATAATTTAATCGCTTTAAACATGAAATACCATATTGCAAACTTGTTCTGTAAAAATAAATAAAATTTAGATCAAGCATTTAAATCATTGAAATAATGAATTTTTGTTTCTAAATCATTACCTATGAAAACTATCAACCATCCTAAGTTGACCACGAAGGTCTTTTTTAGTAAGATGATCCAACATTCTAGCATCAACAAGGCACTCCATGAAAGTGGATCGATATTGAGGCAAACCGAGACTTGGAAGCCAAACATTACCAATCCATTCATGGTTCATATCTCCAAATGCTAACGTTGTGCGAGAAGTTTTTGGTGCTGATGGACTTGTAAGAGATACCATTTCTTGAATAGCTAATCGTAATTTCAATCGATGCAGAGGATTGCTAGAAATAAAAATTATTAGATTGAATATTAATAATTATTTACCATAATATTCTATCATATTTTACATATAATATATTATCATTTATAATAAATATAATATGAATTGTATTGTATAGTTTCATTTTGTACCTTATACCAATTTCACGTTGAATCTCGGTATCACTAAGAGCACTCATTATGGCACCACTTTTGACATTTGCTCGACAAGCCGCAACATACCATGTTGGCATGCCTACCCAAAGTTCAAGCCAAGCCACTACTGTTGGCCCATTCCAGAGAGCAAACGGTGTTCCAGCTTTCATTGCTTCTGCTAAAAGTTCGTGCCGTGAAGAATCTAGCATGCTTCCAAACATACTTGGACTGAAATTAAATTAATATTATAATATTTGTATTCAGTAAGTATTTAAAATATAAATGTATTCTTATCAATTATATCTATGTACCTTTTCTTTTTTCTGCGATCAAAATCACTTTTGCTACCCATAGTTCCAGCTACAGAAACACTGTCTCCATAATCAGGATCTGCAGGTGTACCTGCTCCTCCCATACCTGGTATATCTCCAGGCATTGGTGTATCTTTTCCTTTAATCTGTAATTAAATCTCTCTCTCTCTCTTATTTTTTTAGTAATTAATTATTCAATTATTATTTCATGTAATTAAAATCTGCATCACCTTTTCTTTTTTGCTGAAAAATCTACCAAGACTGCTTTTAATGCCTTTCTTCTTTTGAGCAGCAGCCACTGCTGCTGCTGTTGCTGGACTCATGGTAGATTGCATATGCAAATGCGAACTAGATAGTTGTCCAATTGGCAATCCAACACCAGACAAATTGTTTTTATGCAAACTGTCCTGGCTGCTATGTCGTGAGGACAATGGGGAAGGGGGAGTCCCAGAATTGAGTGCGCCGTTGTTATGTTGCCCATGCCTGCTGCATGGAGCGCTAATCTAATTTCTATTTCTACTCTAAATAATGCATTCTGGCCCATACACTATTCGGTTTTTACTTTTTTCTATATATACTATTTTCTATTTCGTTTGTCATTCAAAATATCAAAATTATTTTAAAATTTTTTGAAAATACATCACCATGTCAAACAATTGAAATTAACAACAGGATTTATTAAATTGACTAATTTTTAATATTTAAAGGAATATAGATCAATGTTTTTTACTGTTTAGTATGTTTTAAATTACATGAGATAAAATATAATTAGAGAAGAAATATGATTACTGAGCCAAGTGAATTGCATTACTTAAAAAAGATTTTAGCAATGATAATGATTATATATAAGCACAAATACTATTTAACTATATATATATATAATAATAATTTTCCATTCTAAAATGCTTAATATTAATAAAAATAATATTCCTATTTAAATCAAATTAAAGCATTTAAGTTTTAATCTTATACTATTCAAGATATTTATAAATATATCAATTAATATTTACTACAAGTATTTAACTAACAAACAAAAAAAAAAGCAATATCTATAATTTTAAAAGTTCATGGAAAAAAATACCATTACATCATACTTTGATTAATTATGTAAATATGATATAATATTATGTAAAAAAATAGATATTTTTTTCCAAGAACATTCAAAATGATTAACTTATTTATGTTCAATAAAATAGTGAAAAAAGAATTGTAATACCTACTCAGTATTACAGGCAAGGCATAAAAACCTGGAAATATAGCTGATCACTGCTTATGAGATGAGTTTGCCATAATAAATACTGTTTAAAAACAAAGATATAGAAAGACCATTTTATCTATAAATTTTATCAAAATTATTATAATCATTTATTAAAATAATAAAATGATTAATTTTATTTATTGAATCTATCTATATCTTTGTATTTATTTCTTTAAAAACAACCTTATTCGCGTAGGAGATTCAGACGAGATGTTAATTCGATGCAATTCTCTTGGCTGCTTAAATTCCCTTGTTTGTTTGAGACAGCGATGTCTGTCGTGAACTGGGCAGGCTTGAATGTACGATGAATGGAAGAAGCTAATATCAGTTTCTTCCAGGAACTCATTTCTATCAGATCTATCAGTCGGTTCATCCGTACCACTGTGCTCGAAAATTGAGGCTGTAGGCATGTATGTGATATCTTGCATACTATTCATTAATTATATATTTTTTATGATAAAAAATCAGTTATAATTAAAAATAGAAACATTAACACATGCAAAATATAATTATAATTATCAATTTTATTTTTTGTGAAAACCTAAGATCATCTTAGTAAATCCCTTTTTCCAAAAAAAGGTATAAAAAGGATCTGTTACCATCGATATCACTTAGGTCGACCTCAAAGTTGTTCATTTTGCTATGCCCACATGGGTCACTCAAATATGTCGTGCACAGCGGCATATGTTGTGGATTACATGCAGTACTACGATCTTTAATTAACCTGTGAGCAGGAAAACCACTGCTGGGAAATCCGGCTTGTCCAGTGCGTCTGGCAGCATAAACAACGCACAATACTAACTATTTATAATGTAATTACTGAATTTTTTGACTGAATCTTTGACAATTCCATCTCTATATATGCAAAGACTTTGATGATTTAACTTTGGTATATAATTATTTAAACATTAATCAATTTATCAATTAATCAATCAAAAATATATTTACAATTCAAAAAGAATATAATAATTCAAAAAGAATATAATATTCATAAAGAATTGCTCAGCAAAATAAAAACAAAAAAGAAAATATAAATTATAGAAGAATTTTGAAAAAATCCTCATTATAAGAGATGTAATTGTTGAAGTATTATTCATAATTAGTATTATAATTAGTATATGAAGTATTATTCATTGTTTCCTTATAATTCTTGTATAGTTTATAGTTATTAAATCTATGAAAAAGTTTGAAATTTATTAATATCGACAAATTAGAAATTTAAGATATACCTTCTGAGCTCCTCTTGACTATGAGCAAGAACTTGTGCTACTCGTTCTAGCCTGATTGATCGAGCAGTTAATGGTGAAGCTGCATCACTGCCACCACTTCCTGCACCACCAGTACTGTCTCTTTCACTCACTGAATGCAATTCTTCACCTGATAACTGCAACTATAACATAAAAAGAAATTATATATAATAAAAATTATATTATTGTTTTATAAAATTAAATAATAACAAAAATGATTGTAATCGTAATTATTTACCTGGCTCGCAGGAAGAGATTCCGAAAGTTGACCTGGACTAGCTAAAGAAGCAGCATACTGGTGAAGATGTGCTGGGGACATTGATGCCGGTGCCTTCAAATAGACAAAAATATTCAAAATATAATTTAAAATCATTAAGAATTGTAAAATAAACAGAACTTACAGTATGATATTTATGTAAATAATCTCTATTTGGACTATGATGTGATTTTGGAGTGGATCGTCCACTTAATGGTGGGGATGCACGTTCGAGACTTCGTCCTCTCGCTAATAAATTCATATGTTCAAGACTACCAACTCGAGACTCTAATTCTTCAGCTCGTGCTTCGGTACTTTGTTTTTCTTCCTTCATCAAAAGCATACTTTGATATATTGATACATAAGTCGTAGTATAATAAAAACGTTTAATTACCTGGATTAATCTAATTTCATTATTAATTGCATCTAACTGTTCTTGTAACATTAGTGCTAATGTTTGAGCATCTGTATGTCCTGTAGGACTAATTACATCAGCTGCACAACTAAATAAACTTTCATTATCTCCATCACCTTCCGCATCACTAGACACATCAAATGCTTGTTGCACATTTGCAAGAACATGTGCTTGTTGTAACTTTTCCCATTCTTGTTCCGCTAATGTACGTGCTACATAATTCTGGAAAAATTGAAGAACATATTATTCATATTTTATTATATACATTTTTACATATATTCATATATTCATATTATATATTTAATCTTCTATATATTAAAGATACCTTTGATGGATCTTCTTCGATTGCAGGCCGTTTACCCGTTCTTCTTGGTAAAGAATGAGTATCAAAACTACTATGACTTGCACTTCTAGAAAAGGAACCTGGATCCACTGCATTTGGAGATAAACTTCTAGTTAAAGCATCAGTTTGTTGAATATTAAATGCGATTTCCTGCTGAAGCATCTGTCTTTTTACATTATCAATTTCTAAACGAGCTTTTCCTAATTCTTTAACTATGTCAGCCTTTTCATTTTGAAGATCTTCTGCGATTTTCCTAGTCTTTTCCAATTCTTGTGTAAGTGCATTTTTTTCTTCTAATGCGTGCATTCTTTCTTTTAAATGTACTTGTAATCTTTCATTAGATTCTAAAAAAATAAATCAAAACTAATAAATAAGAATAATTTTTTTTAATATAATTACTTTAAATAATATTCGTAAATTACCCGACAAAAGTTTATCAACAGTTGTACTAAGCCGCGTATTATGTTCTTCATTCATCTTAAGTCGTTGATTAACACGCATCACTTCTGCATTTTTTTCTTCAAGTTGCGTTTCCAACCTTTGTATTCTATCCTCTGCACTTCCGTGTCTTTCTTGAGCCTGCTTATTAAATATTTCATATAATTAAAATCAATGTTTATTAACATCAAATTTAAAACTAAATTCATAAAAATATATTTATTTAATCGTTTTTTATTTCAAATATGGGTAATTTTTCAGTAAATTTAACAAATAAAGCTAAATTGGATTGAAGAATAAATATGTATCTAACGAATATATCTACAAAAACATGAGCACTAAATTACAATTATTAATAAGCTTTGAAAATAATAACATTGATTGCTATATTCAACATATTTAGTGTTAAAATAAAAAATAAATAAATTATTTTTAAAGCCAATCTTTATCTTTATAACTAACATTCGATTATCAGCATATTATATTTCATAGCTTTAGAAGAAATTAAAAAAAAAAATCTTAATTTATTGTTTGTGTAACGAATATATCTATATAAGTAACCATAGCCAATGATAAAAAATATAAGAGAAAAATATTGGAAATTTCAAAGGCTATTTTTAAGAAAAGATATTGAAGAGCAAGCATTCTAGATATAAATATATTTAAAAGCAGGAAGTATTGATAGAAGTGCAGAGGAATAAGAAAAGAATAAATTGATGATACAACGATTTAATTCCTCTGCGTACCTGGTTGGGCCTCCTCACCTGCGTCAGAGCCTCCATCCTCTGCTTTAATTGCTCTTCCATTTCTGGTAACTTAGCATATTGGGCTAATTTTTGCTCTGCAAGTTCTAATTTCTCCTGTATTGCTGCTATTTTTTCTTCTTGGAGCTAAAAAATATTTAATAAATTAATATTTAATTTAATTATATTTAAATATTAAAATAAATTGCATAAAAGTATAAATTTATATAATTGTAAATAATTAATATATACAAAAAGATAATTACCTTTAATTGAGCCTTTTTATGTTGTAGCTCCTGTTCCAGTTTTTCATTGAGATCATGTAAACTAGTAGACTCTCTTTGAGCGTTAAGATAACGTTTTTCAAGAGTTGCTATCCTTTCTTCTTGGTCCTCTTTTTGAGCAACATTTTCGCGCAAATCTCTTTGTAGTTTGACATTCGTTTCTTGTGTTTTCAAAAGATCTTTCTGAGTTTTGGACAAAGTTTCTTCTAATTCTGCTACTCGTCCACTTAATTCAGCTACTCGTCGCTGCCATGTGCTCAATTCTGAGCTCTAAAATAATCATTATGATATGTTATTAATAAAAGTCAGAGTACTTGTACATATATAAAAAAAATATCAAAAATTGTTTTTTGCATATCTACTATATAAATTTATATTAATAATATATATGTTATACTACAATAAGACATAATCTTCTGTTTTTCTGATTTTAACTTTTAAAATTTGAAATATTAATATAATATAAGTATACATATATCTAATCTAAATATGTAACATAGTAATAAATTGTAAATGTGTTCTTATATTGTGTTTTTATATATATGAAATGTTTTGTGTTAGTATATTATCACATAAATAATTATTTAGTTATTTATAAATTTTGAGGAAAAACTCATTCTTATATACTAGATCATGCGAATATAGAACTCAAAACATATTTTATTGATATATTCTACAACATGCCATAGGCGTTAATGATAATATGATACATGAAATGAAAAAAATTTTAATTGTGCAACATAGTGTTATGAAATTGATATATTTTTGTTGATATAATTTCATTAATATATTTTAAAAAATCTCACAATATCATAATAGAAACAAAATATAGAAACAAAAATTTCAACAATCATTTCATAAATTTCTATCATATTTTTTAATATTTAATGAACACAGTATAAAATTAATTTAAAAGACTTCTTATTAATATTATATAAAAATAAAAACATTTAATAATATAAAAAATAATTTATTATTATGTTTTGACATGCAATATAATTCTGAGGTTTTTAATTTTTTAATTAAAGAACAATCATAAAAAAATTTTTTTTTTAACTATAAAGTTCCAAATCATTGCATGCAGAAAAGAGAAGATAGAATGAAAAAGAGTATATTCGTTTTGCATCTCAAAAAATAAGCAGTCAGATATTTTATCGCATGAAATGTTCCATTATGAATCTATTTATTTAATTAATCAGTTAGAAATCATACATACTTTAAAAAATTCGTCGTGATGCTTTTTCATACCTGCTTATCAAGAGTAGCTTGTAAATCTATTACGCGCGCTGCAGAATCTTGGTCCGTAGGATCGAGACTGCCATTGCTCAGTCTACTTTCAATCTCTGTTGACTTCTCCGTACCTAGTTTTGACTGCTGTTGTTGTTGTTGCTGCTGTTGCGGTTGTTGTTGCTGTTGTTGCTGCTGGCCTGCTGCCTGCTCAGTCTCATTCTGCCCGATCACAACACTACATTCAGAATGCCTCGCTCGCATTGCCTGTCCTGCATCGCCGCGCAATTCCCAACAACTACGTATCTATGCAGCTACGTGACTAAACCACTACTATACACGCTATTGCGAATGCATTCTTATGGATGCAACGATCGAAATGAATGGCAAACAAATGACAGTTTATCGGTACAGATTTGAACTCTATTAAAAAATGATCATATGATTTCTTCTGATTGACACATAAAATGTTATGATTTAAAATTGAAATTATTATAAAAAAGAAAATTTAAAAGTGAAACATGGAATAAAATAATTGATAATAAATTATTGTTTTAAATTATGACATGTGAGAATTATTAATGATCAAATGTGATGATATAGAATATAACTTTTTAATCGTTAATAAATCAAGGGCTAAAATCTGTGACCAATAACTTCGAAATCGATTAATATCTAACGCCGAGATTAGAAGCGTTTCACAGATAGAAAGAAAGAGAACAAGAGGATCTGATGACGCAAAAAATGAACTTTATCACTCTATGTAAAACAACGTGACTAAGTGAAATACTGAATTATATTAAAACCATGAACATGCATAGTGAAAAGATCGCATAAATATAATTGACAACGTTCAAACATGTCGACATCTTTCTTCATATATATATATATATATATATATATATATATGAACTTTTTATGTATGATGAAGTGATTGTGAAGTTGAGAGATTATGAGAGAATAGTGTACGTGAAATATTTGTGGAGTGCATTATGCATGGATGTGCAGCAATATAAAATGTTTTTTAGCTACCTTATTCTGTTGTTGACTATCTTCCGTCTGTCCGTTTTCTTTGGGCCTATCTTCTATAGTTTTAGGCGCATGTCCACTTAATTTATATTGTTGAAGCTGCAAATTTATTCATATTAGAAATAGCTTATTATTAGCAAATTAAATTTTAATATAATTGCTTTTTAAGAATATGTAAGCTATAATACCTCTTCTTTGGTAATAGCTAATTCTTCTTCCAAACTTGTATTTCTTTCTAATGCAACTCGTAATCGTTCACGTACCTGAAAATTAATCACTATTAAAAATTTATTTCTTATATTCTCATTAATTTTCAGTAAACAATTATTATGGCTTTGATTATTATATCTTGAAATAGATTATTTTTTTCAACCGGTGAATCGTTGCATTTGATCATTTTATACAAATTTACAATTCACCATTCTTTTATTTGGTTCGCTAGAAATGCAACGAGTACCAGTTTCAGGGCTGAACAGGAATTGCGATTCCGTATCCTCCCTCAAGGTTGCCAATGTGTCAATGTCGTCAAACAATGGATCAGAAAGTTCTTACTTTCTCGTCTAAAGCTTTGTGGTGCTCAAACAGACTTTTTAGAGCTTTAAGCACTTCAACTTCGGACGATACTCCAGATTGTGCAGCGGCTTGCCTCTTCACTACAGTCATCCTAAGCGATCGTTCATGTCGGGAGACCAGACATTCCAGATGCTCGAGCAGAAGCTGCAACAGAATCGTCTTGATGAGCAATGTCGTAGACATAAGTATCAGCTTAAATCTATAAAATGCACTAATGGACTGTTCTACGTACACGAGTATTATTCCTCTCCGCTTTTAACTCTGATATTTCTTCTTCTCTTTCTAGGATACTTTCGCGAGCTGCAGCAAGCTCTTTCGTCAATTGAGAGAAATCCTAGAATTAAAAATTAAAAATTATTAATTACATTAATAAATTTAATTTAACACTCATAAAATAATCAAATAATAAAAGATATTATTTTTTTAAATAAAATTAATGGTAAAATAAAAATATTTAATAACAAGAGAATTAAAATATTATTATATATAAATATTAATATTAAATGAATAAAAAGTGCTATAAAGAATATATTATATTATATATATTGATAAGTATATTATATTATATTAATAATAAATTTTTTAAAATCATTTTTAATGATTCAAAAAAAAAATGAAGATATATTTTTGATTAATTGCAATAAGATAGTATAGATAGTATAAATAAAGATAGTATAGATTAAACAAAAATAGTTATTTTAAGTGATCAAGTGATCTTAAATCGCGTAGAGTTTTGAAGAAATAAACATCAAAACGGTCCAGAGTCAGTCTCAGTGGGAATCTCGATAGGGAAACTACACTTTCACCTTTTTCATTCAGGCACGTTTTATATACGCCTTCGAACGTGTTACTTCCGCTCGACACTCCAGCAGAATGTTAAATCTTTATTTATAAATGCTACTACGATCGATATGGCCTTCTCTGTTGGAATAACATTGATAGCTTCTATACTTTAAAAGAGCAAACAGCCCTACAAATTTATGTTTGTCTTTAACCCTGTCCTTGATTTTGCAAAATTTTTACAACTTTTGTAGAATTTGAAATAATTATTGATATTTAAAAAAGTATATTATGTCTTAAAAAAAAAGAAAAAATTCAAAAAATATATAATTTCACTTTAACACATTTTATGCACATTACAATTATATTGAATAATTAACTGAATCAATCATTACATTTTGATATATTATGTTTTTATATTTTATATTCAAATATAAAATACTTTGCAAAAATGCATAAAAAAATTAATAAAGAATCAATTAAAATCTATAAAGTAAAATGTTTCACATAAGAAACATTTCACATATACAAATATGGCAATATCATTATACGAAAATAAATATTTAATCTTCAACTTAATTGCTATTCGTCGATTAATACATTGACAGAATAAGCAATGCAATTCCTGCCCATCCAAATATTTAACATTTAAAGATTTATGGTCATATTTGTCAACAAATCTAAATTGATTCATTCAGATTTTCATAAAGAAAAAAAAAAATCATAATTTTTTTTTACATAATTTTTTTCTCTTTTTCTTCGTGCAACAAGTTGTAATTAAAAGAACAGAACTTTCAATAACTTCTATTTTCTATTAGCATTATTATATTAAAATTATATTAAAATTTTTTTATATTAAATGTCTTTATATTAGATGCATATAATTCTATATATTAAGACAAATCTCATCGAAAAAATATTTAATATATTTACTTTTTACAATTTTATTGATGTTTAAGACGATGAATTAAAATATAATTAAAAACATAATTAAAAGTAATATAAATTTTCCATACAAATGACATATAATAATAATAGATAATTTTTTGAATAGGATACATAAAATGAGAAAATTAAAATTATTCTAAAATTATAAAGTTATAAAAATTTATTATAAGTTATATAATCTCGAAATTAATAAATCAAAAATTGAATCTATCTCGATCACTTTTGAACTGGATCTATTTTTAGTTATCTCAAAATTCTGTTCTTATGATAATTTAAAATTGGAACTTGTCACTTAGAATTCAAAATTTTTTCTGATTTCTATTGCATTAAATAAACATAAGAATTATGCTTTTTCTTTCTTCACATCAGAAAAGTAAATTATAATATCAGAATCAATGCTTTGATAAAGATCATTCTATTTCTAATAAACTGCAACTGCATAATTCTCATAATATATTACGCCATACTCATAATAGACGCAAATGTATATCTGCACACAAATTTAAATCTAATCTTACGTATCACATTATATAATCGATATCGTGTAGAAATTATCATTGTTCTGATAGTGTATTCTTGATGACAACATCATGAAACAACTATAAAATCGATAAATACACCGATCAACATTCGGTCTACTATTTGTCACAATTTCTATTTTCTTTTTTGGATTTCTGCATTTTTAAAAGGTATTTTGCATGAGATCGATTATTTGAATCTTCTTTTTTTTTTTTGACATAATTTAATCTAAAATAAAAAGAATATAAATTTTAATTTTGTGAGTTAATGTTGATTCAAAGCTTTCATTTAAAGAATTAAAATATAATAAACATAATATGACAAGATAAAACATGTTTTTTTATTCAAATTCATTTTTAATTTAAAATTTCATTATATGTTTCATAAAATGTTGAGAATGTGTTTTTTTAATATTAATAGCAAGTTTTTGAAATATAATAGAAACTTTAAATATCGAAGTAAAGAAATACTAGTAATAATAGTATCTTTAAACTTAGAACATGAGAATGTTCTAAATGTGTGTTTATCTTTTTTATGATTTTAATTTTTTTAAATTAATTCTATTGTTTTATAAGAATCTGAATGTTTTGAATGTTTTTATACTTATTAACAGAATATAAAAGAAACCTACAATAAAATATTTTCCTTGGCAAAGAAATAATACTTGAAACTCGTTACAAAATACTTTCTACTATCAATTGTAAATAGCACCACTTTTTTTTTGCTTATATAAATTACAGAAGCAAGTAAAATTAATATAAATAAATAGAATACAATAGTATTCGAATTTGAATTTAATCTTATAAGACTACGCATAAATGTTTTCTATAATTATTATTAAAAATATTATTTTCTATAATATCTGATATATTTATTTATTTTTTATAATATTTTCATTAAAATTAAAAGTTTGGTATATTATGGTATTATAGTATTATATATTATAGCATTGATATTAGTTTCTATTATACGTATTCTTATATCAAAAATTATATAAAATAATATAACATCATAAAAATATATGGTACATAAAAAATGTAATAATAAATTAAAACATTAACAGTTTACTATAATTAATGTAATTTTATCTATGTATATTTAATCTTAGAAAAAAAAAATGTAAAATTGATAGTCTAATATTCTAGATTATTATATAAATTATTATATAAAATTTGGTTAATGTAATAATTTTTATTACGTTTTTATTATATGTTAACTGTGTTTATTGATAATTATACTTATTATCTAGTTTATAACGTCTTTTAAAGGTTCTCGACAACAAGATAATTCTTCTTAATTTTTTGGTATTCAATCACAAAAAATAATTAAATTCATTAATTTCGTAGCGAGTTTTAATTATATATTTCGGTTAAACGTTTTACTTTTGTCGACTATAATTACCCGAATTTGTTCGTTCATTTCTTGTGATATTTGAATATAAAATCATTGGTTTATTTATATACACTGCACGTCCTATTTTCCAACATTCTTCTAACGGTTGTTAACAAAAGGACAAGCTTGTTGGCTTGCTAAGAATTACTAAGAATCATGCTAAGTTTTCTTTCGATAATTATTATTATTATTAATTTGAGCGAAATTATATAATTTAATAGACGATATAATTTGATTCAAAAACTTTTAATAATTCTGTAATTCAGTTCTGAAATATTTAGAAAAATCTTGTAAATTTTAGAAAATCTTGTAAACATCACAATAATATATATTAATTTAAGAGTTATAGTCAGTCTTGACCCAAAATTAAAATAATTCATTTTCTTAGAATCGAATATTCATTTCTCTGCGTCATGTCCATATTTTAATTTTATTTATGATAAAAGATTCGCGAGAAATTTTTAAACACTGATTGTACTCATAAATCTCACGACACTATATTTCCATCACAGCAAGGACTCTTTTAGTTCAAAAACCTATAAACTTTTCACTAATAACTTCGCGATTTATATTTAATCAGAGAAAGAGTATTTATACAAAGAAACTTCATTGTCAAACAAAGACCAAATTTTTTAATACAAATCAATAAATGATACCATAAATATCTATTTTAGAAAAAAGAATAAAATGAATAAAATGAAAATTTCAATAAATTCACTGACAATTTTTTTACTATTAAAACTATTAAACAGATTCTTCTAAATTTCATTAATTATACAGAACACAAAGTATCGAATAGTGAGATCTTGAGTAAAGAAAAACGACATCACGAACTAAGGAACGGGAACAGGCTGAACGTGCCAGATGCAGACGAAAGCCGAACTCGATTATTGCTCGAGTTGCAATGGGAACCTATAAATAGTGACATTCAACACAGTGTCGAGGATGTTATCGAGTAGTTAAAGTTTACGAACATAAAATCTTGTCTCTAAAACTTTGCCAAATAAGTAAAATTTTGAAAGATTAAAAAAAAAAAAAAAAAAAAAAAAAAAAAAAAAAAAAANAAAAAAAAAAAAAGAAAAAAAAAAGAAATAGGAATCAGAGAGTAATAGAAATGCAATTAATAAAATGTATATTAATCACTACTCTGTATTCATTAATTATAATAAATATCATTCTTAATTCATTATTCTCTTTAATCATTGTTGTAAAAATTATTATTATTAGTTGAGTAATTTTTAAATTATTTTTAAATAATATTCATAGTGTTATTTCAACTCATTTTTATATTATTTGCTTATCACAAAGATATTTCTATGTTGTCATTTAAAAATATTGTTCATTAAATATTATTCTATGGAACACAAAAATAAATATCATTTAGAAATATTAACTTTTCTAATTATATATAAATTTCACTTCAAAATGATTAATTAAATATAATTAACATGGTCATAGATAAAAATGAAAGATAACAAAGAAAAAAGAATCATCTGTGAAGAAACATCATCTGTTATTTTCTCGAAAACGAGGTATTTAGTACAGTAGAGGAATTTCTCTGTCTATAACATCGTACTACTATTTTAATGATATGAGCTGGAAACATGTAATGCGCAATACCTGCATAATAATGATCGACGTCACTTGATTACGTGAGTTGATAATAATCTCGTATTTCAAGATAAAGAAATCTTCTTTCATAATTTTACAGTATTCCATCATTTTATTTTCAATCACTTTTATATAATAATCCAATCTTTATTAATAGATTATTATGTCTTGAAGATAAGAAAAATATTATATATAAATATTTATCGTCAATGTTCATTTGTTTTTTTAATATCTAGAAATAAAAAGCAAAAACAGCATAAATATTTACTTAATATTCTATAATAATATTCTATAATATTCTATAAGATTATGTAGAGCTGAAAAGTTTGAAAGAGAAATATATATAAATTGAATTTAATAATTTTTACCAAAAATTTTTTATGGATTACAGAAAAATAAAAAGGTAAAAAGAAAGCAACATGTTTTAGTAAACGAGTGAAAACAAATAGTCGGATAAAAGTGATTCAGAAAGAAAAAGAAATGTGAAGAGGGTGTGATGAGAAGGGGTGAAATACACTCTTACACGTTGGCCCCATCTGAATCATCACTGCACGCGAATGGCTTCATTCATACGCGAATTTAAAATACGTTCACGAAGCAAAGTTACGATCTATATCCTCCCTCAATCGATCATTACACACAACCGATTCTTTTTCCAATTATAGATTTTTAAAATTTATATATTTGAAAATATTCTAAAATTTAATTAATATAAAAATTAAATAAAATTACAAATATTTATTATATATACAATTTAAAATTAGAAAAACTAATATAAAACTTGAAAAATATATATATAGTTATATATAGTTAATATTAATATGATATAAAAATTAAAAGAAAATATCTTAATTATAATAAATATCTTAATAAACATTTTTACTATTATCGATCATTTTAAAAATTTACATCATCATTATTATGGAAATTTAAAATTTAATCCCAAAAAAACTTAATAATATTAAAAATTAAAAATTTTTTTTAAATTTCTACAAATTCACAACGTTTTGATTTATAAATTATGTATAAGTTATAATATGAAAATTAAATAATTGCACTACAAAATTCTTGAACATAAGATGACAATTTCTTTTCTTTTTTTTTAGAATAATTAACTATTTAATAATTAGAAATGTACAGAAAATATAATGGAAAATAATATTCAATATATATTAAAATGATCGACAACAGCAATGGTTTATTTAATAACACCTACGAAAAGGAAAGTATTTACCCACGTATCTCATCTGGAAGACATTACGACAGCAGGTCACAAATACCAATCTTATGTCCCTTGTTAATTAAACATGACATATAGAAGTGAGATAAGTCATGATATCTGGCAAAATCGCGATTTTTAACTAATATAAAGATGATACATTTGTTTGGACTATTGAATGTTTTATAAATTTGAAGATTTTAATTATAAAAAACATTCTGGATGTAGATGTTTGATATGGATCCCTTGTTTCTCAAAGATCTTTTGATTCTGTATCAAAATTGTTTTGAAACTTAATTTTTTCGTATATCGATAATTTAATCGCTATACATATAATAACTTTTTATATATAAATAATTAAATAATTAATAATTACTTATAAGACACAGTGATGAATAATGAAAGATTCTTCTTCTCGTTTGCGATTTTCTAATGTTTCTTCGTGAGTGTATCAGTGTTTTTCATAAAATATAGTTCTATTTGCTGGAGAACTTACAACGAACAGTTTCCAGAGAAGCATAATATGTACCAGATGTTTACTGTTTGACTTGGTCACTGTGCAAATACGAAGTTCCTTCATCCAACTTCCAGATAATATATCTTGAATTTATCTATAGAAATTTGTAACATTAACTATCTCTTTAAAGATAGAGAATTCAAAGAAATATATAAATATAGAAAAGATGTGAATAATACACGAAAATATTATGTAAATATTAAATAATATATATATAATGATGAGAAATATTACAAGTTAAAAATTAATCCTTTCATTCCTAAGTTTAAAATATTCGTCCCTGAAGGGATGTAATTACGAGGAGGTAATGGAGAAACAGATATCATACGAATCGTCAATGCCAATACACAGACAGATTCGAGGAATGTGAAGGGAAATCAATAGCTCGAACTTCTCCGACTCAGTGACACAGAATATTAATTCTATTGGTTTATATACAAAAGGGTTAATCAGTACAAGAAAATCCAAAGAAATAAAATAAAATATGATTACTTATATAACAAAATGCCATTCAATCTGACATTGTTTATATTTTTGATTAGATTACTATCTTTCAGATCCATTTGCAAAATATAGATTCTAATATTTTAATTTTAATATATTATGTTTAAATCATGTCATAAAAAATTGAACTTCAAAGTTCTTCATCGATGAAGAACGTCATAGAATTTTTAAGTAGAAAATAAAAAATGGAAAATTGCATATTAATTATAACTTTTAAATGTTTCTCGAGAAGAATCTTCAAGTTCTTACAATCGAATGTGATGAATTTAACTTGCACATTAATCGTATAATCAAAGTTGTGATAGGTAGATATTAAGTTAACGCACTATATATCGTATCTTGCAAGTACACTTTAAACAGATGGTTCTCAATCTATATACCTGAAAAAAATGCATTAATGTCATAATAATCATAATAGCCAATTTAAGAAACATAAAAAATAAAAGAATATTAAAAATTTTTTATTATTTAAAAATTACTATACCGTAGAACGAAATATTGAAGAAATAAATGGAAGAATAAAAAAAAAATCAAGTGTTGAAGAAAAACCAAGTGATGAATCCAATAAAAAAGAAGATAGGTCGGCTATGTGGCACCGATTATTGGGAATCTGAAAAATTGGGTCACATTTTGTTCATAGTATGTATTAAGAATTTCCTATGAATGTCGACTCCATCCAATTCTGTATCGGGATCAATTTTCATTCTTTCCATTCTTTGTGCGCTTGAAACTATTCTATATTGAATACAAAATAATCAAATTTATATAAATTTTAAAAATTTTAAAAATTAAAATGATAATGCTAATGATATATTCTTGTTTCTTAATGAATTTTAATATTGACTAAACTTCATCCAAATTAAATACGAAATTCTTTATTCTATTCCATCCACGTATATCTTCTACTTTTATCTTCATTCATTATTCCAAAACGTAATACACAATTTTAAAATCTGTAACTACAAAAGAAAAATCATTAATAAAAGATTAATCGTTATCAATTTATCAAATATAAGATTCATTTTAATCACCTAGTTGATTAAATTTCATCTAAATTCAGCTAAAGCGATCAGAGGGGCATTGAAAACCGCTGTACACGACCGAAGGCGGCGGCGTTGCAGCTCGCTGGCGGCGCGCGCGAGTAGAGAGAGCTACTACTACCGAGTAGTGTGTAAAAGGCGAGGTTCATTCATGCGCCGCCGGCCCAGTAAGGTGGGGTGGCTATTGATCGTCGAGCGTATATCGCGTACACCGGTGCATTGCACCCGTTCGCCTCGTCCTAGAAATTTTTACCCCAAACTCTTCCGTGCTGCCTCTCTCTATACCGCGCCTATCTCGATATCATCGCTTCGTTCTTCATCCTTTCGCCGATTTTCTAACCGGATCTTCGTCTACGCCGATTTCTACCTGCCTTCTGGGACCAAATAATCAGCCCTATTCGGCTAGAAATCAATAAACTTCCCGGGAGACTCTTTTGAAGCTTTCTAGTATTTCGAAGAGGACTGATTTTTATATGGTGCAAGATAAAGATAATGATGAATAATTTTTAATTTATATAATTAATTACATAATGGATGATATTCGAAAAAAGCAAGAAATTATTTTGAATTTACTGTATTATTTGTATATATCTATTATTCTATACATATTTATATATATCTATATACATAATTAAATAAATTATATATAATTGATTTTTTAATTTAGTTTTTAATCATCGAATTATTATATATTTCATAATATCAATTCACATAGCTTTCAATTTTTTTATGTAATATAATTTAACAGAATAATGATTTCCACTCAGCAATATTTCTCAGAAATCAATAAAAAATACAAAGAAACGAATAAAAAAAAGCAGCAACTCCAAAAGGGAATGAGAATTCCCAGGAATCGCAAAACTATTTCACCCCTGAATTTTTTCTCAGCGGAGAGTCGAGACGGCCTAATCGCCTTTTTCGCCTCTACGTTCTCCGTTCTCTCTCTTTCTTTACTCCCTTTTGCACCCTAACTTCCGCTGCACGCGCCTGCAGTTTTTTGCAACCTCCTGGACAGCATTACGCGCCGAAAGTACGAGCGGGTCAGTTTTTTCTTCGCTCAATCGTGGAGTGTACATATCTATGTGCATGTGCATGTGCATAAGTATAGGAGTAAGTACAAAGAGAGAGAAAAAAGGAACAAGAAGAAAATGAAAAAAAAAAAAGACAGAGAAAAAAGGTTCCACCCTCGAAAGTTTCTACCTTAGGCTTCTCTCTAGCCTTTTCTGTGCTAGACAGGACAAAACTTTCCGCAGTATTACAAATGAAACGGTCTTTATGTCGCGTTGCCGCAGCTTCGAGATCGCTCCAAACATGCTTGGCAGCGAACCCTTTCTTCCGGACAATGTTCCACCAGGATCGTTCCAAATAATGTTGTAATATTCCGACAAAACTGGCACTGATTTGTGGATAAATACACTGATGATAATGCAATCCCGTTCAAGATTGTATAGGTTGAAGATTCGATTAACCCTTATAATTGTTCCTTAAATGAATATTGATATTGATCTTCATTCTGTTTATTGATTTTTAAAAATCATCATAATCTTAATATAAAAAAGAAATGTCCGTTAATTACTCTTTTATTTTGGATTAAATAACTGGCTTCATTATTCAAACAAAATATCAAAAATTTGATCATATATTTGTTTCTTTAATTGTTCAATTCTTATTTTTCTCTTTCTATTAAAATTAATTAAAAATATATTAAAATATAAAATAAAATAAAATAAATAATAATAAATTAATACCATACATTCAACTATAATGAATTTTCTTCGATACATCAGGCTGATTTTCGGAATAGAAGAGGAGATCATTGATCACCATAAAGAAGATATTCGTGTATTTCGATGCAGTTTAAAAACCTAAGAGGAAAAAAAGAATTAGTAAGAAAATCACGGAAGGATAGAAGGATAGAAAAATCACGTAATATGAGCCGAGTGACTCTGCCCTTCGTACTCCAATTGCTCTGAGGTAACTTGTAATCCGGACACATTACATCACTATATCCACGCCCAATCTCCATATGAGTAGAACGCAATGCACCGCCAACAAATGTAAAATCTATCTCATAATAAAACGAATATATTAAAATAATTGATTTTATTTGAAATAATAAATCATATCCTATTTAAATATTGAATTATATTATAAATTATATATTGAATTCAATTATTTTAAATAATTTTTTTAGCAACTTTTAAAATAAAATAAAAAAATTTCACAAATAATTTTTTAAAGATTAAGGAAAAGAAAATATTCTGTTTATTTAAAATAGCAGAAAGAGAAATTTAGGTTCAAAGCCAGATCTCTTAGTTAAGAAAGGTCTGAAATACATGCGAATCAATTAGCAAACATGTTTTACGAGGTTTGTTGCTGGAGGTGTTCGATTTTCTCTTGCTAATCAACTCGAAGCGACGATACTGAAGAATTCGAGTTGTTAGCTACCACTTAACAACCTGATACTCAACACCTTTCAATTCGACGATGAAAAAGAAGAAGGGAAAACCAATGTAGCTGATGTAGGTTTTCAATCATTACACTGATCGTCCTCATTTAATCGATTTAATCGATACAAAAAAATGATTGCTTCTTGAAAACAAAATAAAAAAAATTATTTACAATTTAAGTTTCATAAGAATACTATAACAATATTATTTTGCAGTATTTTCAACTTAAAAAAGAAAAAGAGATGTAGATATTAAAGATATTAAAAATTCAATTTAATTTAATCTGTCTGATTCACATTAAGAGTCTGAATTAACTAAAATTGGTATTAAAATTGTTCGTCTACAGTGATCTAAATTAAAATGACATATGTATTTAAAGAATGATGAGCATTTATATATATATCATTAATAACTCTTATATTAAAAAGAATTTTTTTTATTCCTTGATGATAAAATTTTATATATAAAATATAAGTATATTTTTTTATTTTAAATGAAATTTAATTAAATTTAACTATTTGATATATATTATATTCGTTTGTGAAATTTGTAAATTAATTAATGAAATAATATAGAATTAATTAATATAAAATCAACGAAAAATAATATATGAAAAAAAATAAAATATATTTTCAAGATATTTACTACTATATTTCTAAGTATATATATATATATATATATGTTTCAATGTCATTTGCCATATACGATGAAAGAATCGATAATCTGTTCGAACGTGCACTCGATACATTGCACATTGAAGTAATAATGTGAAATTAATGACGAGACAAGTGACTGACCGCAATTGCAATACACAAGGAACAATTTCTCATTATGAAAAGAGAATTCTTTGCTTTTATGTACTTTATATCATTCAAAAATTAAACAAAACTTCGATCCATCTCAAGAATAACTCAGATTCCCTCCTGTAGAAAATAATTAATTTTCCTATCGATCTCCTGATCGATTTCATCTTTCACGTATTTTCTTCTACATTTTATCCTTATTTATAGAACTTCATCTAAAAAGAAATTAAACGCTAATTAAAATAGATCAGAAGGTATTCTAATAAAAATGTATTATACTTTAACCTATTAAAAATATGATAAATTTAAAAAGAAAACTTTAACATGAAAAGAAAAAGAAATTTTCTATTATTGTTCAATTATAAGTATTATTAAGAAAATAAAAATAAATCAACAAACTTAACAAAAACTTAAAAACGAAATGATTTAGTTCTATATAACTGAATTAATATTATTAATCTTAAACATCACAAGTTACAAATTATCAACATTATTTCAATGATCAAATTCGATCTTATTACATCATATATTTGATATTATTATTATATCAATATATCTGATAATTTCAATAAATTGCAATGATCAAAATTAATCCATTGCTACTGGTTTTGTACCGATGGCATTGTTAATTTATCGGCAGCGTTTTGCTGTTTCATTGCTAATCGCAATTAATTACAAACTCTGAGAGACCTCGCTGAACTATGACCCGTTAGCTTAGACGAGATTTCATTATAATCACTAGTAACCCTATTATTCTTCTGGTACACGCCCGCAAACACTAATTTAATGTCATTTGTAATCGAAGTCGCTTCTTTCCATTTCCTTCTTTTTTTCTTTTTCTTCTTTCTCTCACAAATTTACTTGTAAATGAGAATAGTTAATGAAACTATAACGAAAGTAGGTCATCGTAGGTTCGTTTTTTTCTCCAGCTCTCATTTATTATCCGTTCTCATTTCATTTTTGCCCTTTGTCTCAGGAATAAGTGCCATTGGGTCGTACAGGAAACGAAATTCTGCCATGAAAAAATACGAAAGGATTTTCAGAAGACTCGACAATATCGAATTCGATACATGCAAATATAATAAAATCATCATAAATTTGTCAAAAATCTCTGCATTTTTTAATTCAATTGAGAAAAAATTCTGTAACTTTTTTCTTTTTTTCAATCTAAAATTAAAATTTTATTAATAAAAATCAGCGAATTTTTTTTTTATTATATAATATATGTAATAAATAAATGATTATTATTAATAAATGATTTTTTCTCTACGTACGAAGATCACCGCAATAAAAAAGTACAATGTAGTTTCACTTTTATCAATTAAATTTTCCAAAAAATGATTTGTTTCTATTTTTATTTATTTATCAGTAAAATTGATTTTCAATTATACGATTTATTAAAGGCACCCCGTATAACATGTCGGCGTGTACATAAAAGCCAATCGGGCGACGGATGGATCGATATGGCTGTCGGTTTCTCCCTTATTTCATGAATATATCGATGCTCCACATTGTATTTCTTCTCCTTATGTATTATATTCTCATATTAGACTCTCCATATGATGATTTTTCAAGAAAGAAAAAAAAAAAAAAATAAACGAGATTAAAAAAATGTGATCTCTGTGATCAAATATTTTTCCAGAAATAAATCTTTTAATATATTTTAAATTTATCTTAAATTTAAAATTGAATTCTGATTTTCTTCTAAAATTAGAATAAAAAAATCTAAAATTAGAATAAAAAAATATTGAAAAACACGGCCTATCTAAAATACAATTTTTCAATATTCGATGATATAAAAATTGTATAATTGTGAGTCACATTTCATGCAAAAGTTTTGATGAATAATATCTTCAGTGATAATTTCTAAAAATCAATATTTGAATATTATCATACGATATTGAAATCAAATTTTGGATTGGATTATCATGGACAAAAATCATATTATTTATCAATGGCTTAATAAATTATGGATTAAAATATCACGATATTAGAAAATATATGATTAACATGAAAAAATTTCGGCATATTCCATATTGTATAGAATTTTCTATGCAACATTATCACTTCAATGAGCACTTATCGAGATACGGAAAAGTTAGCAATGATAAGAATTCTTTATATCATTATCATCAAGCGCCTAGAAAATACTATAATTCCTCTTTCTACGATATTTCATATTTCATATTCTATTCTATTATATTTAATATAAAATTAATGTCAAACTTCTGATTTTTAAATATTGATTAAAATATATATGATAAAATTTTGATATTATAATAAAAAAAGAAATACAATAATATTATAAAATACAAATGACATTCAACGAACAAAGATTAAATTAAATGATAAAGTCAGTATATTTTCAAAGCTACCTCTGGCAAGATAATGCGCTGTCGAAGTCAATACAGCTTATACAGATTTTTATTGGATCTTGCCAAACTCTGCAGAAAGTTGTCACGTTTCATCCGCAGCAAAAATTCGATAAATAATTGTCAAGAAATTTTCTTCTGGATGTATGTTTAAAAAATTTATATTTTTTTTTTATTTTTCTTATTTAATATTATAACTTCGACAAATATATTTATTATAATAAAATTGCTTACAAAATCGCTATATCATAACAGAATTTTCAATTTCCTATATTATTATTATATTTTCTATATTATATTATATAATTATATTATATAATTATATTATATCATCCTATATTATATTTCATTTAAAAAGAAGCTAATATGACAAGATTTTTATTTTTAAATTTATTCCACAAATATAGAAAAGATTTTATGAGAGAAATAGGTGAATAAGACAGTATTGCAAGCACTTATATATACCACCTACGACTTTATATCGAGATCTATGTGCATTTCCGGCGGTTTACCGTTACGTGCATATACAGCTAGGAATTGGACTATAAAATAGATAATATTGCTTCTTCAGATATGCATCAAATTTTATATTTGATTATAGAAAAAGAATTCTTTGACAAATAAAACGACTATTTACAAATTTTTCGTTAGAATCATAAAAAAAATAAATTATAACAAGAAACATCTCATAAGGAAGAAATGAAAAATAATAAATACAAGGAAATTATTAAAATTATTATATCTATTTTAATAATTTACTGATAAATAGCAAAATTATACTATTATATATAAAGAAACATTCATAGAATTCAGCTTTAAGAATATCAATTATTCGAACTTTTTTCTAATTTTTTTTAAGCTATGCAGAAAGAAATGGACAATTCCTATGTATATACACCAGTCAAGGAAATTAATATTGCAATCAGTAACTGCATAATATATGATATAATTATGATATATATATATATATATATATATATATATGATATATGATATATATTAGGTCCTTAATCATATTCTAAGAAATATGAAATTCCCGTGTGTTAGTCTTTTATTTAAATGATTAATTCATTTTTCTTTTTTTATGCATAATTTTTAGATTTTTATTTTCAAATAATCGATATTTTTGTTTATCTGATTGATATCTTTATTTAATATTTAATATCCAGAATATTTATTTTTTTTATTTATATATTTATTTTTTCAATTTTTTCAATTAAAAATCATTTTATTTTTTACTTTTCTGTAAAAATAATAAAGTTAAGTTAAGTAATAGTTAAGTTAAGTAAAAATAAATAAGTTTGAATATATAACATTATAAAAAATTTTATTATTTTACATAATTAAAATTATATTATATCAACAATTTAATTTGATTTTAATCGACTTAATCTAATATCTCATTTTTCAATGTAATATATATATTTTATATACATACATATATTCTATAGATGAATGTTATGTGTAATTAAATGCAATAACTAATAGTTATTCTTTTGTGAGAAAAAGAATTTCGATAATAGATAAGAAGAATAGTAAGAATCAATTCATACGAAACAATTAAAATTATTTTCATATATTACCTTCATTTATAATCGTAAATCGAAATAAATTATATGTAGATATATACTGATATAATAAATAACTTTGAATTAATAAACTAAATAATTATAGTACTATGTTTCACTATATGAAAATTCTACCATAATAAAAATATTATAAAAATATTATATTAAAAAAATAAAATACAATGCTTTGATTTTTAATATATGATTTATACTTGGAATACTTCAAAAAAGAAAATGAATTGTTATTTATATAACAACGTATGATGAAATGTAGAAAATTAAAAAAAATTATATACAATTCCTTAATCATATTCTAGATAATTTTAGCTTAATCAAAATTTCTTTAATTATAGTTAAAAATTCAAAATTCGGACTTAATGGATAATTCAAATTCAATTTCTATACTTTCAAGATAACAATAATAAAATAAAACTTTATTTAAATTCTAATCTATTCTATCTATCTTTTTTTTTCTATTTTTCTATAACGTGTTAATTGTTAAACGTTTCTAATCTTTATATAAAACCTTCGGTAATTACAGATCTATGATCGATCTCGTGCAATTAGAAAAATACCAATGACGCTCTTATAAATATTTCATAATAGAAAATATATTATTGTTAAGTTTATTGAAAAGATTTGTGAAGGAATATATTACATGAACGAAAATCTTAACTAATGGAATAAATAATTTTTCTAAATAATTTTTATGATAAAAAAAATTTGACTTTATCTTCAGATACAAATATTGATCTATACTTCCCTTTAATCAAGTAACAAATTCAATATGCTGATTCAACTCTATTGAAATTAAACCAAATAACCTGTTTTATATATATATCATTGATATTATATATAATATCAAAATTGCTTCAATCATTATATATTTGCTAAAAAAAAGTTTTATTAATATACTACGATTCAAATCATAATTTTATTAATTGATACACTTAAAATATCATAAAGAATTATACATGAATTTTAACATATGTAATCACCCACGTGCATTTATAATCTGCCTTCTTTTATGACATCATTAAATTATTCTTTATCTAGGTTGAGCAATAGAACGAAGAAATGGAAACGGGTAATAAATGCTTGTATACATGTTAAGATCAAGAAATCACATGATATAATAATAAATTAATAATAAAGATGATAATGATAAATATTGTTGTTTCAAATAATAAAATTGTCTTTATCAAAATAAAATGAAATTCAATTTACCTTGAAATAGTAATTATAATATTAAAGAATAAAATTGCATCACATAATCTAAAAGTAATATATATAAATAATCATAAATAATCATATATATAAACAATCATAATCTATATAAAATTGTAAAGAAAATATATTTTTCATAAATCAGATCTTTAATCATTTTTGTTATAATTATATGTAATATTTTATATTAATATAGCACGATTTTTTCGATTCAAGACACATTTCAATCATTTATTCTGGCACAACTTATATATAGAATAAGTAATCATAATTTAACAATTCATAGATCAAACATACTAACTACAATTAATAATTTATCAATCAATTTAATTCTTTTTAGAAATAATTAAAATGTTAAGATATAAATCGATTAGCAATACAAATAAAAAAATAAATATAATTAATCCTTAAATAATGCAATATATTCAGTTATGTATAAATCTCTTTAAAAAAAAAAATTTAAATCTCTTTAAATCTCTTGAAAAAAATCGGACCAATCATATAATTATTTTAAATTAATTCATTATTCTTTATTATACATATAATCCATAAATCATAAATGAATTATATCATGAATGTTATTATTTACTTGCTATAAAAATTTTTAATAATTTCATTGTATATTAAAAAATTATAAAGAATTATCTTATGTCATGGATTTCAATCACTTAATCAATAAATAAATAATATATATATGAATATAATAAACATATATTACATATTTAAGAATCAACTATATTTTAAATTATTAAGATATACCTGAGGAATATTAGCGTTCAATTGACGATTCAATGAATCCCGTTCTTTCTCGACCTCCTGCAAACGTGCTTCCGTTTCCTGCAACCGTTCCTGGTTTTCGCGTAATGATTCCACCAGTTTGTCTCTTTCGTCAAGCATTGATACCATCAATTGCTCGAAGTTCGCATCTTCACCGGAATATTGCGAACTTCGTTGGCTAATGCTGTCCTCCGCAATAGTCGGCATCACGTCACACATCATATTCCACATTTTGTGTATCCTACTATTTTTTCACCCTCCAGCACACTGAAACTTCACTTTAAATATACACGCAAATAAGAAATAAGAAACAAAATGAGAAACAAACACGCGCGACGGATATAATATGGACACTCGCGTGCGCGCCAGTGACAACGAAAGCCACCTATCGCTTTCGATATGTATATATATATATATATATATATATATATATGTACCTTTTAATTTGTCTCGAACTTTTTAATTAATCATTTTCTTAGTCAGTTTCATTGTTTGGATGTGTTTTCTCTCTCTTCCTTTCTGTCTTTGATTTGTTTGTTTTGAAATTTTCTAATTCTTCTTAAAAATTTGTAATTTTTTTTTCTTTCAATCACACTTTTATATAATAATTCTAACAATATCTATGCGCCGAAATTCTGATAATGTTATCTTCTTTAAAGAGTATACTGCTTAACCAGAAGAAATACTAAAATCCTGAAGTTTAGCTTCTCGTAATTTTTACTCTGTGAAGAATGGAGATCGTTCTTTTTTTATATTTGGTTAACTGATACTTATTGGCAGAAACATTGCTTGAATAATCTCTTAACAGTTCCAAGTTCAACATTACTTGCTCGGTCACTTTCTCATGATTCAAATTCATATCTCATTTTCAGCATTGGACAATACATTCTTAGCAGCTATTAAATATTGTTTACGGAAGGGAATCAATCGATGTGTCGTTGTGAAGGATCATACGCAGTTAAGACATAGTCATAGGCAACGAGAATATTTTCCTTAAAAAAAATTAATCAATTCGTAATAAGAGGAAGATTTGATACCCAATATATAAATAGTTTCACTATAAATATATATACGATTGTTAGATAGCTAAGTTAGTTTTGACAGATCACAAATAGGATCAGTGAACATACACTATATTACGCACTCTTGGATCTCTTATACGTTGATTATACGCGCGTATTTCTCATTTTCCATTTCACTTTTTATCAGAAACATAAACTAATATTCAATCGAAATAATCGACACAAAGATAATATTCACAATACACTCTTCTGGAACCGGGCAGATGAGTCTGACATTCGTGAAATATCCGTGAATAGTATAAGAATGATCACTGGACAGGCCACCGTTTACTTTTCACTTCGATTTTATTTAGACAAGATTTCATCCTATCTATTGAATGTTTGTAACACAAGTAAATTATGAACAGAAAAAATTTCAGGGAAGATATATATCGAGGGGAGTTCAGAACACCGCTTATTTTGCCTCGCCGACTATTTCACAATTTATTATCACCATCGGAAACTCGGCCAACGGAATGATTCCGATCGTACGTATAAGTTATACACGAGGCGCAAGTCAGCGTGCAACAATCGGCATTTCGATGGCATTATCGCGGAAAAGCCGAGTACTGACACACCTACAGTTCGTTCCTACCGCCCAGCCTCTATGCTACTCCATTTCCGATACCGGCGGCCATTTTGCACCGTGACGTCAACCTTCCCCGAAGGTGCGTCCGACTCCGCCCGAATGTCGTACGATTTTCTTTAGCCGTGTTTGCAAACTGCGACGAGATCGATGATCACTTGTAGCGCTACAATTTCAGAATTTTATAGAAGCGCGGGACAATTAAATTAATTTCTTGAATTTCAAATATGTATAATTTGTATTAAATAGATTCTATTTAATTATTAAAATATTAAAAAATAGTAACTATTAAAAAGTCTAAAAAGTCCTTAGACATTTATTTAAATCAATCTATAAATATATATTATAAATATCGAAATATACAGGACATTTAAACCAAAATTTTTTATTTTTAATACTTGAATCTATTTTTTAATAAATAAAAAAATGTATTGCTAAAAAAGATCGTTATATTTTAAAATTTAATTTCTAATGAATTTTAAAATTTATAGAAACATTTATTTTTTAAATAAGATTGATTGTAACTTAATATGATAATTTTGATCGACTTAAAAAGAAAAAATCGGAGAGACTTAATTTTCCAGAAGATGGAGACTGCGCTACAGAGTAGGATGCTGGATAATCAATACCGACCTTCGTGTCGAATGCTGGACCAAGTTATACAATTAAAAGAGATAGAGGCAAGCATCATGAAAACAGTAACACACACTTGTACGCCAGAAGCTACGGGTAAGTAGTCATAGCTTCAATTCAAAATATCTTTCAAAAATAGAACTTACATCACTCCTAATAAAATGTTAAAAGATCTCTATACTTTTTTGTTAAAAGAAAAAAATAGTTTAAATAATTAATTATAAATATTTCAATTTTTTAAATTCTAAGTATCTTTTTAAATATTATTTTTAATGAATAATAAAAAAAATGCATTTCTTTTTAATTATCAATAATCTTTTTTTTTCAAAATATATTCAAAATGGAAAGTTTTTATTTTCTCCAAAACACTTTTTTGTTTTACATTTAAATGATGCTTTTGAACATCTCTATTTCTTGGAATTACACTTTATTCGTCCAAGTTGTAGATCTACCTGGAGGCGATTCAATCGAAGATATCGCTGAATCAGTGGATGAACTGCGTGAGAAATTAGCGAATATGAAAAGACTGATGGAAGAGCGAAAAGGCACCACCCTGGGCGAAATTAGCGCAAGAAAAAGAAAAGAGACCTCGGATATCATAGATGGTCATTTTTTATCTTGGATATTTGGCTCGGCATTGATCGTCATCTTGAGTGTTAGTTTTTATGCATTTTACAATCTTTACCATGCAGTTCTGAAAAAATTTCCATCACATCATACAGAATTATAAAGAAATGGTAATTTTTATTTTTGAAAATATATTTCAATTTTTTTCAATAATTTTTAATTATCATAATAATTTGCAGAATGGACAAATCTCTATAACAAATTTTAATCAATTTTATGAATAACAAATTGTGCTGATGTTCGCTTTGAATGTATTCTATTGCATTCAATAGAAGACGAACTAAAAATATGTCCAGAAATCTCAAACTTCTTGCATGATTTTCAAGAAGTATGTATAAATAGTTTTGTTTTATATTTAAAAAAGTGTCCCATGAGATAATATAATGAGACGTGTGAAATAGCAGAAGAAATTAGAAAAAATTAAAAGAATAAACAGCAAGGTTCCTTTCGCGTGCACTTAACAAGCTCAACGAACATTTTATAGTATTCTTTCCATAAAAGATAGTATTCTTTCCATAAAAGATAGTCTTTCTTTTATGTTTATTACAATTTTTTAAGGAACTTTCTATGCTCACAAAAAAAATTTCGAAAAAACTATTACGTTATACATCGGAAAAGGAGCAAGTGCCTTAAAATCTCTATTTGTTTTAATATGTTCGCATGAATGTACAATTCTATGAAAAAAAAGGCACTCAAAATAAATAATTTAAACTCTTTTCATTTTTAAGATGAAAAAAATATCTTGAATGAAAAAAATATATTATCTACTTATTCCTTACTTATTTTTATTTTTAATCTCCTACAAATTAATACATTTCAAAAATAAGGTCTCATAGTATTTTTTTTTTTATTCTTTTTTTCTGATTTTATATGCGAAAATTCTATTATTTTTAAATATTGTATTATTTTTTTACCATTTACATTTGATATCATGCAATATTTAAAGTTTAAATGATAAACTTCATATTTTATACTAACCTGTTTTGTCTTAAGAAAAAATCATTTTCAAGATATTTAGATTTACAAATATTAATTGAAATTATTATTTTGATAAATTACTAATTGATTATTACTTATTAATTGATTATTAATCAATAAAAATAATATTTTGCACTTTGTTTTTGCTTTTGTTTTTGCTTTCTATATAAGAAATAATTTATATGAATAATCGAAATTCATAAAACTCGAATTAAATTTTTGTTTCAATATTAATTTTTACCATGCATTTGAAAGTAAAAAACTTTCATATCGATTATTTACTCAAATGTACATATTGTGAATAATAAATAAACATTACAACTCAATCAAAAACAACTATTCTGACAACTATTCGATATTAAATCGATGTTCGATAAAGTAGTATTTGATAATGTCTTCTTAATTATTTGTTCTAATTTTCTTTCTTTAATATGAAAAACAATACTGTGAACATTTAATAAAAAATTAATTATTATGCATACAAGAAGACGATAAAATTTTTTATGGTAAAATGAAATAACTCACACGAGGATGTCTTGATTTCTCAATACTCGAAGCTACAAACATTTAAAAAATCAATTAAAATAATAAAAAGCAAATTTTAAACAAAATAGAAAACTTTATAATAACGTACAGAATAATATTTTTTTATTCTCCAATTCTTTAGAGAAACTATTCAGCATTTTTTGATAGTCTTCTTGTTGCTGTAATTATATTATGAATTATTTTTTATATTTTATATTGTATCGTCAACTTTAAAGCAATCAAAGCATTACCTTTAATACTTCACTTCGAAGAGCTTCTCGTCGAATTGATAAACTTGAAATTTGATTTTGTAACATTCTTACCTATCAAATATAATCATAATATTATAATTTCTTTTATTTCTTTTTTTTCAATAATTATATTATATTATATTATTACGCCAACCTCATCTTCAGTCTTCCGAATATCTTTTTTCAAATCAATCATTAACGAGCGATATCGATCTCGACAAGAAGATGTTTTATTTTCCAAATCAGTCAATACTTTTTCTGCATCTTTTATTTCACATTGCGATTTTTGTAACTATGTGCATAGCAAAACTAATTATATTTCTTTTAGAAAAACTTAATAAAAGATGTGTATAAAAAAACAAATTAATTTCTTACCACATGTTCTTTCTCCGTAAGTTTTTCCGTTAATATTTCCAATTTATCATCTACGCTATCGCGACTCTGAAATAATCAACATGTCATTTGTAGAAATCGAAAATATAAAAAAAATCGATAACTATGGTTAAGAAAAATATACAATATAATACATTAATATGTATATATCATTAATATGTATATAATTTTTTAATAATAAATTTTAATTAAAAATAATTTTTTTAAATTACTGACTTCGATTGGGAATTCTTCTTCCACAATTGTATCTTGAGGTACAATCTAAGAAACGTAATAATGTATAATTTACATATTGTAGAATACATAAATCAAAATATTATAAAAAAGAAAAAATTATATTATTAAACTTACACATTTTTTCAATTCTTCTGTTTGAGCGTTATACTTTGTCATAAACAACATTATTGGTTAACATAAAGTATTGTCGATTACAATAAAAGAAAAAAATTCTTACCATAACCAGAAGAAAAGTGACAACGCAATAGATAATGAAGATAAAAATACACGTTATTTTAAAGATGCAGATTGCGAAAAGTATGAACCACATTATAAAGAATTTTGTAGTAATAATTATTCCTAATAAAAATAATTAGTAAAAGTATACAAATAACAATTAGAAACGCTTGAATTTATGATAAAAACGATATTAATAAAAACCGAAGATCTAACATCGTTCCCATTTTGAATGATCACTTTATCGAAGAGATTTGAGAATCGAAATCTATCGAAATTTAAATATTTCGATTTATCGTTAAAAAAGTTTTAGCGCGCATTTATAATTATATTAAATATTTAAATGTATCCAAAATTAAATTCAATAATATTTTAAATTAAATAATTTCAAACAAATCAATCTTGCAATTATATTAAAATATTATTTATATTAAAATAATGAAAAAATAACTAATACAAAAAATAATTTTTATTTTCTTCAAAATTCTTAATAATTATAAAATATCAAAATATTATATAAAATTCCTTAATTTTTATTTTTAAATGATAATTTAGATTAATTAACAAAATCATTATTCTTATTAAAAACTTTAATATAAAGAGAACATCCGGACAGTCAACATATTTTAGAATTCTAATTTCTACAATTTATTTAGAAAAGTAAATAAAAATCATAGTTATTATTTTTCATATTATTTAATGCTGCAACACGCAAATTCAAAATGTTTTCACATTACAACTTTGCAAAAAATAGTTTTAAAAACTTATAGAAATTATTTAAATAATATAACCTATAAAAATGAAACATTTAAATCTAATCAAATCGATAAAAATAAAAATAAAAAATTTAATCATGATTCTCATACATTACAACAATTTCCATTTCATACAACAATATTACCTTCGCAATCACAAATTATTATAGCAGGTGCAGGAATTGTGGCTAATTCAGTTGCTTATCATCTTGTTATTAATGGATGGAATGATATACTCATTCTGGAACAAAATAGGTACAATTTATTTATATGAAATGAAGTAATTAATAAATAAATATAAATATCTTAAAATAATGCTATAGATTTCTTTATTTGTCATATTATATATTTTATATAATTAAATTATATATATGAATAATTTTGTTTTGAAAAATTATTAATATTCTAATTATTTTACTTAAAAATTATTTATTATAATATCTATTAATTAAAATATTTCATGCTATAGAATTGGAAGTGGAACTTCTCATTTTGGCTCTGGTACACTTGGTCTTTTTAAACCAATATCACATAGAAATTTAATTTCTTATAGTATTAAATTATATCAACAATTACAAGAAATGGGATATGATATAGGTTTAAAACAATGTGGAAGTATATATTTAGCTCAAACCAAAGATAGAATGATAGCTTTAAAAAGAAGAATGGCTTATAATATACCCACAGGTTTACATTGTGAAGTAAGATTTATAATATATAACTTTATTATATATAATATATTTATTATATATAATATATATAACTTTAAAATTAGAATTTAAAAACTTTTAATGAATAAAAATATATAGATTTTAGAAAGAGAACAATTAAAACAATTATATCCATATTTACATATTGAAGATATTGAAGGAGCAATTTGGGTTCCTGAAGATGCAGTAGCCAATTCTAGTGCAGTTTGTAATGCTTTAGCTAAATTAGCAAAAATTGGAGGAGCAAAATATATTGAAAATTGTCATATAGAAGAAATTTATACTGAAAATGAAACCATAAAAAGTATCAAAACTCAATATGGAATAATATCTTGTGAATACTTTATTAATTGTGCAGGAATGGTAATATAAATATCAAATTTTAAAAATATAAAATAACTTTAATCTTATTTTTTAGACAAATTCTTTCTTATTTTTGAAATTTAGTGGGCACGAGAATTAGGATTAAAATGCAATCCACCAGTTAAAATTCCAGCATATCCTGCTGAACATTTTTATGCAATTGCTTCTCCTTTTTCTTCTAATATAGCTCTACCATGTATACGAGATTATGATTCATACTCATATATAAGAGAATGGCAAGGTATTTAAGATATTAATATATCTTATTTAATTTGTACAAATGTGTACAATCTTTATAATAAATAATTAGATTTATAAATTTATAGGAGGTTTATTAATTGGTTGGTTTGAACCAGAATCAAAACCTGCATTTGAGAATGGTATTGTACCTATAAAAAATTGGAAAAATCACCTTACAATTGATATTTCACATTGGAAACCTTTATGGGATAAAATAGTACATAGATTGCCATTTTTAAAAAATATACAACCAAAAGTATATAACTATCCAGATAATTTTACACCAGATGGTAGATGGATATTAGGAGAAAGTCCAGAAGTAAAAAATTATTTTGTTGCTGTTGGCATGAATGGAAATTCATTGCAAGGTAAAATATAGCAAATTTTTAAACACTTTTTAAATTTTTTAAATCTTTCAATTACTAAAATTTTCTTATATCTTATTATCTTAGGAGCAGGAGGAATAGGTAAAGAAGTTGCTGAATGTTTAATAAATGGTGAATCTACACAAGAATTACTTCCTTTTAGTGTACAACGATTTTTAAATTTACATAGCAGTAAACAATACTTACAACAAAGAACAAAAGAAATTGTTGGAAGAAATTATGCAATTTTGTATCCTCATCAATGTGAATATAAATATGCTCGAAAATTGCGTTGTTCGCCATTGTATTCTGTTCTTGAAGAAAGAGGTGCAATTTTCGGTGTCAAAATGGCTTATGAACGTCCCCTTTATTTTAATTCAACTTATAGAAGTGAGAAATTAATTTTCATATTTCATTTACTAATATTTATTTAGTTTAAATTCACAAATAAAAAAATAAATTTCATTAACAGAAGGGCAAAAGAAACCAATTATGCCACCAGGAAGTTTTTATAAACCTCAATTTTTTGACTTTATGAAAGAAGAATTTTTAGCATGCAAAGAAGGGGTGGGAATAATAGATATGAGTTCATTTTCAAAAATCGAAATTAAAGTATATATTTAAATTATGTTATATTATTTATAAAATATATTTCATTATTTATTATAATTGTATTTTTGTAGTCTAGTCGTAATGAAGTTGTAAAATATCTTCAACAATTATGTTCTAATGATACAAACATACCAGTTGGTAGTATAGTACATACAGGAATGCAAAATGAAAGAGGAGGATATGAAAATGATTGTATTTTAGTAAGACAAGCTGAAAATAGTTATTTTATGGTTTCACCTACATCGCAACAAACACGTATTTATCAATGGATGTACAGGTAAAAAAATAATAGAAATCATAATGTAATTAATAATATAATTTAAATAAAATTATATATAAATTATTTATTTATTATAGACATTTACCAGCTGATCATTCAGTAGGTCTTAATGATGTAACTTCAAAATATACTGTTATTAATTTAGTAGGACCTAAAGCAGCAGGACTGCTTTCAGAATTATCTAATTCTGATATTCATCTTTCTCCCTTTACATATAAAGTAAATATTTTCATTTATTTTTACTAATTATTTCATTAACATTAGATAGATTTATATATATATGTGTAAATATTAATTTCATATAATTAACAGAATATAAATGTAGCCTATGCTTCTGATGTAATGGTAATGTCATTTACACACACTGGTGAATCAGGTTATTGTTTATATATACCATCAGAATATGCACTTCATGTATATTCTAAATTAATGGAAGTAGGTAAAGATTATGGAGCACGAGATGTAGGTGTACTCACACAACGTTTTATGAGGATAGAAAGATTTATTCCATTTTGGGCTGAAGAATTGACACCTTTTGTTACACCATATGAAGCTGGAAATGGATACAGTGTAAAATTAGATGTAAGTACATAAAATTTATTTATATATTTTTATTATTAAAAGGCAAAATATTTCATTAATTAACAATTCATAATAGAAAGATTATTTTATTGGCAAATTTGCTTTACAACATCAAAAAGAACAAGGTGTATCAAAACGATTAGTATTATTTATTGTTAATGAATTAGATATTAATAAGAATGTATGGCCATGGGGTGGTGAACCAGTTTATCGAAATAATGAATTTGTAGGAACTGTTACATCAGCTGGGTAAATATTATATATAATTAAAAATAAAATATATATTTGTAATTATTATATTTTTTTTAATTAATAATAATAATTGATTAATAATCTAATTTTATAGATATGGTTTTGCTACTGAAAAACATATCTGTCTTGGTTTTATCAGTGTTCCTAAATCAAGATATGTACAAACTAATGCAAATATTGTTACAACAGACTTTATAATGGAATCCAAAAGTCATTACGAAATTGATATTGCTGGAACTAGATTTCCTGTTAAACCACACATTCATCCATTACCCATACCGACACTAAATAATAAATTAAACAAAAAATATATTCCTACACCCATTATAGCATATGAGAATGAAATTCTTTGATAATAATTTTTTATTTAATTGAAACTTTAATCATTGAATTATGAATTAAAATAAAAGAAAATAAATTTTTAAGTTTTCAAAGACTGTTTTTTTAATAAATTTAAGTATATCTATAAAGTAAAATATAAGTATATCTATATTTATAAAATTATTCAAATTATGAAATATATGTTGCATTTTAATGCATCCGTCATTCTAAACTATTTTATTTAAATTCTTACTTATATTTATGAAAGCTATTAATATATTAATTCAATATCATAAAAAAAATATAGTTATTTATAATTTTATAATTATTATTTTATAATGTTTTTAAAACATTGCAAAAATTATAATGATTTTTTGATTTATAAATATATTTTACATATTTTAAAAATATGTAACTATATTTGTTTCACTTGATTACATTATACAGTATATTACAGTATATTTTGAATGAATTTATTTATGACAGATACATTTATACAAGTTTAAAAAGCCATACAATTTAAATAATGCCATATTTCAAAATATGTTATACATATATACATTAAAATAATATTCAAATATTAAAAAGCAATTATATATCTTATGACTTAATTTTCAGTATATAAAATTTATAAGTTTGTATTTTTCATTACATATTTTTAATTACATGTATACAATCTATAGCAATTATAATTATATATGCAAATTATAAATTTATCTGATATAATTAA